TAGTTTAAATATTTTCTAAAAAAATAAACAAAAACAAAGGTCCTCATTAGGATTGGTAAAAATGGACGAAATCCCTTTATTATGGCCAAATTGAAAGTTACAATTATGCCAATATAAATATGTTTTGCCCATTTTAACCAGCTCTGTATATTCATATTTACATTTAACGAATGAATTATACTGGATTTAATTTTGAAAATATTGGTAAATACTTAAATAAGTACTATTTCTAAAAATGTGTGGATGATAGCCAGGCCAGATATCCACCCCTTAATACATATGGCATCCGACTTATCTTTGCGAGAAAACACTTGTTTCCACAAAACTGTGTAATAAAATTGAAAGTCCATTTAATATACGAGCCCAGACGCACATGAATTGGACCAAAACAAATAATAAACACAATTTTATTTTACTGAATTAGAATTTATTTTACTATTATAAATTCAACGGATACGATTAAGCTTATTTAATACCATGTGGTTTTGATAATTAATCAACAATATATAATATTTTTATCGACTACAATAATTATAAAATAAACAAAAAAGAAAAGTAATGTCTGGCGCAAATTAATTGGACCATCACCCAATCGTAATGATAAATATTTATTTATTCAATAAAATCTCTTGTATAATTTTTTCTGGAAATTATATTATCAAGTGGGCGTTGAAGAAATAATTTATGACGTTTGTTGAGTGATTCAATTTAGTTACTTGCCAAAATGGTTCGCGGAAAGTGTTTATCTGACGATTTAAGAAATTCTATTGTTGCGGCCCATAAGAAAGGACTTTCTGGACATAAAATTGCTCAAAATTTAAGTATTTCTCAAGGAACTGTAAGAAATATAATTTCAAATTTTAAAAAAACCGGAAATGTTGAAACAAAAGTTAAAACTGGCCGTGTTTCAAAGATTACCGAAAGAGATGATCGTGCCCTTCGGACACTTATTAAACAAGATCGCCGAGCTTCTTCTCGAGAATTGGCTGTAAAATGGGCCCATGCAATTGGTAGACCAATTTCAAAAGACACTTGTTGGAGGAGAATGAAAAAATGGGATATGGATTCTACAAGGTAAGTTTTTACAAGAAACACTTATCTCATCTTAAATATTCAAATTTATCATCTCACTTTAGGCAAAAGAGCACCGAAACTGGGTTCAACGTCAATGGGATTCAGTTATCTGGAGTTATGAAGCTATGTTTGAGGTCTGTGTTGGCGATACACGAACCAGAGTTATCCGAATGCCAGGAGAAGAATATCACAAAGATTGCCTCAAAAGAAAGGTTAAGTTCCCGGCATCTGTGATGGTCTGGGGCTATATGTCCTCACAAGGAGTTGGACATCTCCTTTTCATTGATGGCACTGTCAATGCTATAAAGTACAAAAGTATTTTACAAGAAGAATTGTTGCCTTCCATTAATGAAATTCAACTGCCAGATGGAGAATTTAAATTTCAACAAGATGGCGCAGCCTGCCATACAGCAAAATCCATAACATCATGGTTTCAGGAAATGAATATTCCTGTTTTAAACTGGCCTTCAAACAGTCCTGACCTATCTCCTATTATGACTCTTTGGCATCAGATAAAAAAGCACTTCGAACTACGCCAGTTCGCACAATTCCTGAATTAAAGGTTAAAGTTCAGGAAATTTGGAATAACTTTCAACCAGATTACTGTCAAACATTAGTAGGCACTATGCCACAGAAAATTGAAGCCGTTATAAAACGTAAGGGTGACGTCACACAGTGGTAACGCTCACTAAATATTTGGTCCAATTAATTTGCGCCAGACATTAATTTTCCTTTTTTTTTTTTCATTTTATAATTATTGTAGTTGATAAAAGTCTTATATATTATTGATTAATTGTCAAAACCACATAGTATCAAATAAGCTTAATCGTATCCGTTGAATTTATAATATTAAAATAATTTCTAATTCAGAAAAATAAAATTGTGTTTATTATTTGTTTTGGTCCAATTCATATGCGTCTGGGCTCGTAATATAAATTGAAAATTCTTAAAATATGCAATTACTTTTTAGTTTATAAATATGCACTTTGCAAATACCTAGTTTAAAACTCAAACTTAATTTCTTTTTAATTGTTACTTAATTTTTTTTTTGGTAATTTTATTTACCTCATTTTTACGTAAGAAAAAGGTAATTTAATTTAAATATCTGGGTTTATTACTTTTTCACCATGCTGGATTTATTACTTTTTAACCATGAACAAACCAAATATTGAACAAATCTTATAATTATAAAATAATAAACGTCTTTTAATTTTATATCAAATAATTAATACATAAGGAATTATATTTTGGTGCCGAAATCTCACCATTTCTATTATTTACCCTAACTACCTCAATTTAAATAAATCACATTATAACATTTGCGCATGGACTATAACAGTGATTTCAGATAATTTGCCAAGCTATTTCGCTCAGTGTAGAAAATAAGCAGGTTTTCTCAGCGTATTAAGTTGTGAAAAAGGTCCAGCCGATATCAAATGCACCGACAGTTACTGTCACTTCTCCTTGATCGATATTCTCGGATACAACCAACTACTTTAAAAAAAATAGGCAGATTGGAAAGCCTGGTATTGGTATTATAAGCTTCATTAAAAACTACTAAAAATATACTGTAAAAGTGTGAATAAAAATTACAAAATATTTTAATGTTGCAGAAAATCAGAGAGTCGGGTTTTTCCATCTGGAATTTTGATGTCGACATCAAATTTAATCAACTTTCTTTTTGCTAATCTGGAACCTAGTCTAAAACTTCAAGCTTTATGGTCAGTGTGCATTCATACGAAGGTAATATTAAAATTTTCCTACACTTTCTAAACATCATTTAGTAAGTTAATATTTACTTTTATTTATGTTTTTAGTTTGGCAAGGAACAATCAACTTGTTACTCCTCACTTATAGGAGAGACTTTGAACTTAATTGACGATACTTTAAGAAACTGGAGAAAATCTCACACACTCCAACGGCAGGTCCTACTTCACAAGCTAAAATTTTTACGACAGTTACACTTGTTATTTGCACATTCGCCAAACAATCACAGTGCTATTCTAAATACTCTTAATAGACTTAGTTTAAATATGAGGTATACTGAAAATTATATTGTAAATCGAACTAATAAAATTCATGAAGAATTATAGCAAAAGAAAAAATAAAGTGTGGTTCCTAATAGGGTGTACAGAATGAGAAAATGAGATACATGTAGGGGTACTTTTAACATTTTCATGAATAATAATACTCTTTCTATAATTTGCCCTCTTACGAAGTTTTAACCCCAGAACCTGACTCAGCTTGTATTGGGAAGGGACGCCTATTATTATTTGCTGTGGCGCTCCGACTTGTAGATAAATTAATGGTGTCATTTGACTTTCTGGTGAAGAAAACCCCACTCGCCATTATACTATCATACTATATGAAAATATACCAAGGACAAAAAAAGGGAAAATCATGCATATTTTTTTAATAGTATAATAGTATAATGTAATTAATAGTGTACCTACACGTCAGAATTTTTCCTGAATTAATCATTGTTCTTAATTATTTGTACAAGATTCTCATTCTGGGCACTATTAGTAAAAGTAAGATTTTGATACTCATAAGTGAACAGACTATAATTTAGTTAAGTTATTAAAATTGTTTATATCTGCCCTCAAACGTAAAATTATTGTATTCAAGTGTTAATTAAAAAATTGTATATTATGTACAAATTTATCGAGAGATAAAAAGACAATTCAGTCCCATGGTTTATACACTATTTTATGCACTTTAGAAACAAAAAAAATAAAAATCACTTAATGGTACTCTAATAAAGCGAAGACAATATCAGTGAAAGGTTGTTAGTGTTGACGTACATTGTACCTTGTAGTGTATTTTCGGTTGTATGGTATAAGTATATAATGTTTAATCCCTAAGGAGTAAAAGTGCAATTTTAGTATACTTTTAGTCCCTAAAGTGCATAAAGTTGGGAATAAAGAGGGTAATTGGTTTAACCACGCCCTTTCATTGGCAAACATGGGATATTGCAGTCCGAATCGCCGATTTCTATTTCTCTATTCAATAACATGGTGTTTCTGGGTGGCACAAAACTGATCGAAAATATATTTAATCGAATAATATTTTAGCGAAAAGACAATAGATTTAAAATTCATTAGATCGAAAGGAAAATATATAGAAAATCAACATTAAAAATAGTAAAATACAAAAAAAAAATCAAATGAATAATCGAAAATTGTATTTATGCAAGTCTAGTTATACCGACTAAGAATGGAACAAAATAATTAATATAATTTATATAACGCTAGCAATTTTTATAACATAATCTTAGGAAAGCAACAAACAAAGTTCACTAGGTGAACTATTTTTTTATATATTTTATTTTTTTGATAACCGGTAATTTGTTGAAAAAAAAAACTTAACCAAAATACCTAACCTGTTGGCTTGAAGGCATTTAAATTTAACCGATCGCTCAATCACAGGTTGGATAAATTGGTTAAGTTTTTTTATTGTTCTCATTTTTTTGTATATTTTCTTTGCGAAACAACCGCGATGGCTCTAAGCCGCACAGGTTAGGTAAATTATTTAAGTTTTATTTTTCTCATTTTATGCATATTTGGTTTTTCAATCATTTTTCTTTTAGATCAAATGCATTCGAACGAATGTATTCGATCAATTTTGTGTCACCCTGTGTTTCTATATAGTTCTCCTGGAGTCAGGATTGAAAAGTTAACAAACTATTGGATACTCCATTCGCATTTTTTTTTTAATCATGCTTTGCTATGTAGTCAAATATTGTCCACATTATACCGGGAGGTCCAATAAGAATGTCTTTCGGCCATATATCAGGAACCGTTAATTTATAGTACAGCTTCAAGAAAATCCTGTAAGATATTTAGAGAACCGTAGGATGATTTCTAGATAGCGTAACTGTACAACAAATAGTAAAATGTTTATTTTATAAAAAATAAATTAAGCTCTTCTAAAAATATGAAAATTCCGCATATTTTTTCCTAAGATAATTTTCTTTCATGGAGATGGAGGATTGAAAGCGGTGATTTGAACAAATGCTTGTAACTTCCGGTTTTATTTAACCTTATTTTGAAAACTTGTTTTTTTTTTTAAATAGTTTTCCTTTACAGTATTTTTTAAATTTGAACGTGCGTACTTGAGGACGCTATTTAATTCTTTTAGAACTTTTAGTTTTCTCCATAATATAAAATGGAAGTATCCAGTTTTTACCACGGATTAAAAGATTAGACTAAATTACCAACAAATCAGCAAAAACCGGGTATCGATATATTTCTCAGACCTGGGTAACAATTTTGGACTCGTTAGAAATGACTCCTTGGCCTATTCATGGTTGTTTGATAAATGGCTCTCGTAGTTAGAGTTTACTCCACATGAAAGCTCCTCCAGCCGGAAAAGTTTTTCTGAAAAAGTAACAAGGGAATATTTTTTACATTATTTACTCAATGACATGGAGACTAATTTCATTTTGCTAATAAAACAAAAAATCATAAAAAAAAGAACATTTTTATTTAATCGCGTCTCCGTTAACAGCGCATAAGGGAGGTTTTACACTAAAACCTTCAGCGTATAGTTAAGGGGGCTTTACACTATATAGTTTTCGAAGAGTTTTTAATGATATTTATCTGATCTAGTTTATTATTCAGTATTTTGTATTGCCAATTACAAAGAAAACTACTTTAAACCCGGACGCTTATGCAGAATCCACCCGGACGTAGTAAAAACCCGGTTTTTACGGATTTTTTTTTTTTTGTAATTTATGCTAGTATTATAATCCGTGGTAAAAGTGGATTTATTAAAATTTTTAAACAGCTCCCTCTTGCACGCGCGTTACTTATAAAGGCGAAGATGCAGCAGAGTGGCTACGAACCGCGACCACGACCCCGGCTGGTCGCAAACAACCAAATTTAATAAAAACAGTGTGCTAACGAACGCTGTGGATATGCGGCCAGCTGGTCAAAGCTGCCACTTTTGTCTACCGACCAATCTTTGGTACAGCCAGCATTCGTGTGTATTTGTATCGGGTATCGCGCACACCAGCACGGCCAAAATCCATAAAAGTAGCTTTCGGATTAACGAGGGACTGGAACGCGACAGAATCGGAGTTTTTTAGGATGCTTTTATATGACATATAAGAGTGTTGAATTGTCACTAATCGAAATAAACCGAACGCTAAAAGAGTTGTTTGGAGTTAAGAATTGAAAGAAACTTGTCTGTCCGAACTTACCTAATGTAGACTGAAAATTGTCGATCATGGAGTGCGTTTAGAATCCTCACAAGGCGCGTCTGACCTCATGCATTAGAATAGGGCCCAGACGCGCCGTGCGTGGTTTCTAAACGCACTCATTATCCCCACTAGACTAGAACCTGGCCGTACTGTCATTCGATTGTGAAATCGTTCATTTCACAACCGTTGGTCGTGGTCACTCAGTGCGCCTTCGACCTTAGTTTGTTTCGAATATATAAATTTACATTAGTGGATAAGAGCCGTTTTGAACAAGACCAGGTTTGCAAAAGTCGGTTAAGCAGAAACTGGACTTACAAGCGTTTGTTCAAATCACGGTTCCCACATCCCTCCAAAGATAGAAGGAAATTAATGTATGCAGAAATATGCGGAATTTTCTTTAAATTCCATTCATTATATTTTTACAAGACCTTAACTTGGTAAATTTTGTATAAAATAAGCTATTATATGATCCGCTTGAAGAAAAAGTATTTTTACTCCGCCTTGTTGTCAAAAAAGTTAAATGATGACGTAATTTTTAGTTTCACTGAAAATGATCGTGACAGAATTATTAATTTTGCGGAGTGTGATTATAGGTATTCATTAACATTTTATTGCTATCATTTTCAACTTTGATGTACCGTTTTTGATGTAATCGTAGATTCCATAATCTCGATTAAAGAAATCTATTATGTTTGGTTTGCGTCGTTTTGCTATTAATGACGATTACAGTTCATCAAATTTCTAGAGGTGTTCGACGCCCAGACAGAGAACGCGCTACGTGTGACTAAGATAGCTATTGTACAGTCTGCTAAACAAGTTATTTTAAATAGTTTTTAATATTTTTAGGTAATTAAATTTTAAAAGTGTGGAATAGTTTAGGGATTAAATTGGTCTGATTGGACTTTCTTAGAACGTTTTTAAAAGCAGCTAAAGATAGTATGTAGAATTGAAAATAATTATTATGCCATAAAAGGTGTTTTGGAATTCCTTCAACCTTTTGAAATTGAGTCAGACAATATAAATTTTATAGGATAGCTGAAAATACCTATAATTTTTTTGTAGGCCTTTGTAAATCGTGGAAATAGTTTATATTTTATTTCTACCTTATTAAGGAAAATGGTACCTATTATTAATAACGGTTGTTTCTGAAACATTACTAAAATTTTCGAAATTTTGTTGTTCTACAAAATAATAAACTATACTATTTAGAAAAAAATTTATTTCTCTTATAATTTTATAAAAAATAACAGGGGAATATTTACATTTCTTGATCTATTAAACAAAACGATAAATTATCTCGACGAATGACATCATGTTCAAGTACGGAAGCTAGCTTTACATTTTTGTTGGTGGTTTCATGGGTTTCATATCAATTTTTTGTAATTGTAGTTTACACGTACATATACCTCTTAACACTTGTTTGCTTTATTAAAAAAGTGTGTTGTTGTGATTTACGTCGAAATAAGTCAAAAATAACTTGAAACCCCATATAAAATCAAAAAGGAGAAACGGAAAAAAATTGAGCCTGTAAATGAACACAACTCAGAAACAAAAATAGCTATCTAATAATAAAAAAATAAAATTTGATTCTTGTGCAGCTTCATCTATATCATTAACTGTTTTTGGTTTTTTAATGGTTTTTCTTGGTGATGAAAATTCCGATATCTCACGGTTATCGATTCTTTTTTTCTCTCCAGAAATGCGGACGACAGTGTTTTTAGATACTCCTGTGGCTGCAGCAACACGATCATTTACATTTTTAAATGGTATTGAAGGTGAATTAAAGTTTCCTTCTCTTCTCATAAACTCTTATAACATTGGCTATTATTTCGCGATATTGACTGTTAATCACGCGGCTTCTTAATTTGCTATTAAACTCCATACTTAGGTTCTATTAAACTGTAATGAGCAAAAAACACAAACGAAAATAAAAGAAATGTTTTAGCGAAATTTACATCTGACATTTACGTCCGAATGAAATAGTGAAATACTTGATGCGCAGAGTGTACTTTCATTGCGTAAATCCGTTGGGATGCCTGTCAGTAGTGCTTTCTCTGTCTAGCCGTCGAAAGCCTTTAGAAATTTGATGAACTGTAGCTAATCGAATTGTAAATCTGACAACGTTGATCATTCCTTATTTTTTATTGTTTGTCAAAATTATTAAAGACTAGCAGGATGTCAGCAGACAAGTGAACAATAATTTAGTGGAGTAAATGTTTTATCGTGTTCTAACCTAACCTTTTTGCTGATCTTAAATTTGCTCCAAGAACCATAATACTGTGTCTAAAGTAAAAACGTATCTATTTAATTCAATTGACAGAATGGTTTGAGTTTCTTAAAAGTTAACTGCCACTGGAACCAAAATTACGTCCCATTAATATGGCGTATTATACAGAAATATATCAACAGTTCATAGTCAAGCCCAATTAAAAAGTGTGAACGGTATCTTTAAAATCAAGTATTTTGTGTGGTCTTTCAAAGAAATTGTTAATCTGCCAAAGATGTCTACTTATTAAAACATTTCTATGAAGTCTAAAGAGAGGGAGTATGAAGACTAAAGAGAGGGATAGAGGCGAATCGGCATACACGAAATACGGTCCCTTGAATCGAACGCTTTTACAATTCACCGCAGGGGCGCTGGTGTTGTAAGTGATGTTAAAAATACATAGCTTCCTATGGGAATTTTACAATTTTTTAAAAATAATAAAAATTAACTACATAAAACACAGAAAATACTATTGTATTTATTTCTAAATATGTCTTGCATTGATAAATTATTTAATTTTATCTATATAAAATGCAAATTAGATGACTAAACTCAAAAAGGTTTGCTAAATGGTGAAATTTGGTAAGTATGAGCATAGTCTCTAGAAAGTGATTTATCAGCCCTAGGAATGATATGCTGCCACTGTTCTAATCCTATAAGAAATATTTACAAAAACCAAATTGGAGTTCAACAAAAAATCTAGCATCAAAACTCAAAAAAAAAATAATTTTCTAGTAAGTTAAATTTAATGTATATTTATTGTTGTTTGTAAGTCAGGATTTATGACTGTAAAATTTTATATTATAGAAATTTGTAATAAAATTAACTACACTACGTAAGATACGGGTCGTGACTAGTTTACAATAAATATATTTAGAAGTAAATACATTATTTTACTCACTAGGAGCTTTAAAAAGACTGAATTAATTTCTATTTGTGTTTTCTTAAGTTTTACATCTGATTTAATCCCGTTTTACAACCTGGAAGAGGTAAATCTTGCTTTGATGTTTTTTTGACACTCATGTTACTTGTACTAAGGTACATTTTCCCATTTTTTCTGATTCTTTTCACTAATTTAAAAAAAACTATTTCACATTGACTTTCATAGCTAATTAACGTCACTAACGTACGACCTGCCAACTACAGTCAATTTGGCGAACTTTATAAAGACAGGAATTTGACTATTGCCGATTCGCCTCCTCTCTGATCTTCATAGATATTTCAAATAAAATGGTTGCTTGTAGGCAATATGGCAAACCTGTGGGGCTGGTGGATTCGACAGGGTCACTGATAAGATAATTATATAGATTGATAATCTATGTTAAAATAAACATCTCGTGCATTGAAGTAAAAATTAAGATAATTATTTTTTTACTATATTCAAAGGTTGAAAATTTTTGCTAAAACGATTCAGAGTAATAAGCACTTGCAAGGCAATATGGTCGTTCGCAATCTATATAACTATAGCATTGACCCTGTCAAAGCCAACAGGCCCACAAGGATTGCCATATTAATGCACACGGCAGCATTTTGACAGGTCGTTGGAATGCCTAATAAAAACCTCAAAATAATTATTACTTTCCAAATAAAATTTTATGTTCGAGGATTTCTTTAAAATTATAATAGTTGTATTAACTTTAAAATGTTATAAAATATGTTATCTTTGTAAATAAAATATTTTTGTTAACTATCCCGATTAGTTTTATTTAATAAGAACATTGAAGCATTCGAGTCGTACTTATGTAACTAACATTGGAAACAAAGTCAATTATTTTTGACAAAGTAAAGCCAAAAATTGGGAATATTTAAATATTACTTTATTAAAAATTAACACATAAAAATTTATTTCTTTATTCTAATTCCACAGTTGTCAATTCATTTTTATCAATTCCGATTTCCTCCATTTTTGTGTTTTCTTCCGTTTCAACAACTTTTTTTGTTTCATCTTCAAAATGTTTGCTTATTTTGCTCCATCTTTCAAAACAAATGACAAGTTCACAATATTTTGTATAAGGAAACATATCAACAGCTATAGCTTTCGTGGGTACTAAAGCATCCCCATTAACCTTTTTTGACTCCTGTCTACCGAAATCAACAAAATTTTCCAATGCTGCAGCAGGATTGCACGAAATGTAGACAACTTTATTAATTTTTAAGATTTTTCGAATTTGAAATACTCCTTTCTTATCTAAAATAGAAATAATGATAAAATACATACAACCAAATTATATTATATTATTTTTCATAATTTTTGAGATGTATGGATATTTTTTGTTTATGAATAACACTCAGTCCTTGCCAAAGACTCTGAATGGCAATAAAAATAATCAATTAGTTGACAAAATAATCACAAAGGTATTTTTTTGGTTTCTGAAACGAAATGAGATTTACATTTGTAATAGCCGAAAAGCAAAAACAAAAAGAAAATAGTAATTTTACCAATCTGTGTTACCACCTCTAGCCCTCATGCAAGCTTCTTATTAAATTGTCAACATTGTCTTTGGGAATGTTTTCCCATTCTGCTAATGGCTAATGCTTAATCAATAAGCTGTGCGATATTTACTGCATTGTTTCGACGAGCTCTAACCCTTCTTTTGAGCTGGTTCCACAAGTGTTCGATAGGATTTAGGTTTGGTGAACATGCAGGCTACTCCAAAACTGTGACACCTTTCGTTTCAAGACATTCTCTAGCCACTCTGTTGATATGGGGAGGTGCATTATCATGCATAAAGATAAAATTGTCCCCAAAGCCTAACGATTGGTTCTAGCACTAAATCAACATACCTCGGACCTGTTAAAGTGGTAACAATGGAGTTTTCCTCCCAGCATAATGCCTTTCCAGAATATTACAGTTCCTTCTTGACATCTTGGGACAGATCTGGCAGCGTGGAGTCTCGCTCATCTTCCTGGAGCTCTGAGAACCCGAATTCGATGATCATCTGATCTAAGGCCAATTCTGATCTCATCCGAAAAAATAACATTTTGCCAATTCTCAATTGTCCAGTTTTGGTGTTGAGGCACCAATTTAGCCGGTCAATTTTATTTTGTCTAGATAACTCTTAACTCTCATATTCTACAAGCCTCGAGCGCGAAGTATTTTTCTTAGGGTTTCAACTGAAACGTTCACACCTGTAGCTTCCAGAAGTTGTCGTTGTAGCTCTGGATGAGAAACACTGAGATTTCTTCTAGCAATTTGACACACAAAGCGGTCCTGTTGTTCAGTTGTGATTCTTTGATGACTTTGTCTGGGCCTGTACTTGAGAGCTTCTAGTTCCAAGTATCTTTCATATGTTTTCGAAACAACACCCTGGGTATCGCCTACTACCTCTGCTGTGTCTCATTGGGACCTTCCTTATTCAATGAAAGCAATAATTTTTCCCCTCTGCACATCTATTAGTCCAATATAAGGCATTTTTTTGTTTTTTTTTTTTTGGACCGAAATAAAACTAGGAGTATCGCCACTTTACTTCTGAACACAAAATTCACAAGATAATAAATCGCAGCAGTGGTTTCTTCTTTATTATCATGTTTGTTTTGAACAAAAAGCCTTATCTTAAAGTTGGATACCAAATATTTCCTTACAAAAAGTTTACTCAGAAATACAAAGTGATTCCATATAAGTTTGGCTGTGTGTATGCTTGTAATTCATTAAAGCACTTCTTTTAAGATATAACTATTTTACTTACGAATGCCAGCTCTAGGTGGATCTAGTACAGCAACTACCTCATTACTAGTGGATTTATAACAAATATTTCCCAATATTTCTTCAGCTTTTCCAGCAAAAAAATCAGCATTATCTATTTGGTTTAATTTTGCATTCTCTTTAGCATCGTCAATGGCTTGAGGTATAATTTCAATTCCCAAAACTTGTTTACATTTCTAAAAATAAATAATTTAACTCGTATTTTATTTTACAAATTATGCGTTTCCGCATAATAAAATTGTGTTTATATTGACATAGGTTTATTTTACTTAAAAAAAAAATACCTTTGAAAAACACAATCCTATTGTACCAGTGCCACAACAAACATCCAGAACTGTTGTGTTGGCAAGTGGTTCAGCTAACTCCATAGCTGTGCTATATAAAATTTCAGCCCCTTTTGTGTTTATTTGAAAAAATGCCTCTGGAGATATTTTAAACTTTAAACCTAAAATGTTTTCATATATGTGAGTATCTCCCCAAAGATGTTCTGATGGTGCCACATCATTGTTGTGATTTCTACAAAAGTATGATTTAGTTAATTGTAAAATAATGCGTAGGTATCTCAAATCTAAAGCAGGGTATAAACATGGGTATGAAATATCCTAGTTCTTATGACAATAATTATTAATTTTGTTTTTTGGTACACCTTACAAACACCTCTAATATGTAATTATAAGCAAGCGACTTACAAACTAAGTACCAACTGTGGCTACCAAAAACAAAATATATACAAATAGTTATTGATGTTTAACAATTGTACAAATCATCAATTAAAATTAAAAAAAAAAACAATTATGCTATATAAATACGTTTGGCAGATTAGCCATTTTACCGGAAAAATACATTAGTCAAGAGTATGTCTGATTTCGTTTATCGTGCTATTAAACAGATCTATGCTGGCTTTGTATAGAAGTTTATTACATTGGATTAACATATCTAGTGAAGATGCATATGTAGAGTTTACAGCAAACTCCGCTAGTCACCGTTCTCAAATTAATTTTGGGGACATCAAGATATATAAAATTTACCAGTTCACAATCTGTAAATTTAATGTTTTTTGTAAGACACCAATAGGGTGAATGAGGGAGACAAATTTTTTTATAATATAGATATCTTGAAAAGTTTTTTTGTACTTTTTCTATTTGATCATTGTGGGTTTCAGCTATCGGATTCCATATGATTGACGCATACTCGGTGGGGTCTTACAAAGGCATATACACTGTAGTTAGTGTGCTGATCTGAAAGTGTTTGGTGTAACTATAAAGCTGTTTTGAGCGCTTTGTAAGTGCATATAGAAATTCATCTGTCTGCATGGTTACTCCAACATCCTTGGGTGGTCTAAATTTAGGCAGAACCGTGGCGCCTTTTTTATAGTAAAATTTTTGATAGCGTGTCTATCGTCATTGTTTAGCATGCAACATCGAGGATCATGTTGTTATCCTCAAACCTTTTAGTAATATTGTGAAGATCGTTTTGCAATTCAAGAAAATCGTTTTTTTTTTTTTTGAAGAGGCCACTTTAAAGACCTTGAAGTCATCTGCAAACGGGAGGGACTGGGAACTGTGGATATAACTAGGTAGGTCATTGACAAAAAATGTGAAGAATAGTGAAAAACTGTTACTTCTGAGGCACACCTGAGATTGCTATATATTACTCTAAAAAATGACTGCTAACTTATTAGTTCTTCCCGTTAGGTACGGCTTGATGCATATGAATCAAGCTGCCCCATTCAACCAAATAGAACTAGTAGGGACGTTCCTTGTTGGAACAGTCATCTGTCAAACTTAAGATCCGAAGTGCGGAACCACTATAACAGGGCCAAGAACAGCGGAAATTGGCAGAGCTACACCACGGCACTTAGCACCTACAACATAGAAATCAGGAAAGCTTCAAGACATTTGGGGAGAACATTAATTTTACTTCTAAAAAAAAGTAAGTAGGGAAGAGCTCGCCTCTTACTCGAAACTCACTTTCATGGTATCACACCTTTTTTAACAAGGGACACAAGTAAGGTAAGCAGGCCCTTAAGAGAGGTCGTTGCAGTGGCCAAACACATTTGCAGCAGCAACCGGTTAAAGTGGGCCGTGGACACTTTTGAACCGTTTAAGTCTCCAGTACAAACCCCAACAAAACAACACTAGTAGCCTTTTCAAGGAAAATAAATCTCAATTTAAAACCGTCAAATTAGACGGGATAGATATAGAATGGAAAAAAAAGTCAAATATCTAGACCTAACCCAGGACAACAAACTTTTCTGTAACATACAAGAGAAGAAAGTAGTAAATAAGGCCACAAAAGCCCTAATGGTATGCAGAAACATTGCGAGTAAAAGATGGGGATGTAACCCGAAGACACTGCGTTGGATGTATACAACAATAGTGAGATCAATCATCACTCATGGGGCTATAGCCTGGAGTAACAGAACTAGTATAGTTACTACGAGAGCTAATATCACAAAAGTACATGTTTGCATCACCGGTACAATGAGAACCTGACGTACGGCCTCTGTATTTAATGATAAAGGACGTGACAAAAAGAACAAGATATAGAATGATTAGGAACGGAGTAATCAAGCGAAAGTCTATTAGCTTCAGGACTGTGTGTTTTTAAACCAGAAGACCTAAGACGTTATAAAAATAATCTTCCTCATCCCAATGCTTCAATAGATGTTAATCACACTAGTGTAACAGATTCAGTAAAAGAAATCGCCATATCCAGTCCTGAAAATGTCCAGTTGGTCCCAGCAGTGGCTAGTACATCTAACAGTGCGTCACAGGGAATTGAAGTACTTAGTAGTGGGGTAGCAGATCCGGTTAAAGAAACCACTATATCAATGTCCGAAAATGTCCAGCCAGACCCAGCAGTGGCTAGTACAAGTACAGCATCAAATTTTGTAATAGACCAAACAGCAGTGGCAAGTACATCTAAAAATACATCCCAGCAAAATAAACGCGCAAGACATTTGAAGATGTCCTATTAGACGTCTTAAAAAAAGAATCGAAGCCACAACCCCAGGTCAAGAGGCGAAGAATAGTTATTAACTGCGAAATAATTACTACTAATGAATATCTAAAAAAACGAGATCAGGAAGACAAAAAGAAAGAAGATGCTATACAAAGAAAAAAAGATGCCGCTTCTAAAAAAATAAAATAGCAAAATAAAAAACCGGAAAAAATTATTGACGATGAAGCTAGTGATACAAGCGATAATTTTTCACTTCAAGAAAGCGACAATGACTCGAAATTTTGGTCTTCAGAAGATGAAGAGCCTATCAATGATAACTGCTTTAATATAGGTGACTTCTGTATAAACGGCTGCAGTTTTCAGGCTTTATGTGGCTAAAATTATCTCAAAACAAAAAGACGAATTTGTTGGAAGCCTTTTCAAACGGCACCCACAAACATGGAAATTCATAGAAACAGATGAAGAATCGTTAATTGCAAAAAGAGATATTATACGTAAATTGTCCAAGCCGATTAAAAGTAGTTCAGCTTGTTATAAAGATATGATTGGCTTTAGCACTGATCTTTCAGATCTCACCATCTTATGTTGTTTTTTCAAATATTAAATAAAAATACTTTCTTCGTTTTTTACCCTACTTTTGAAACATTTTTTTTTTTTTCGTTGGCCTAAATGTTACTTTTGTATCAATGTATGTATATGTTATTTCCTCAATAAATGGTCTTATTTTTTCAACAGATGTTCTTTTTTTCCTCGCCCAAGCAACACCTACCTTCATAACATTGCCAGTTAATAACAGAAAACATTATTCTAGCTAATGCTAGATATTTTTTATGCAATCTTTATTGGACCCTAAAATGGCCCAGATATTCCAGTTTATTATAAAGCAAAAGCATACATAAAAATAGGTGCATGGTCCAGTTACCCCTTTCACTTGGGGCAAGTGGACCCCTAGCACAATTTTGAAAAAAAAAAAATGAAAAAATTAATAGGGATTATCTCATCTTGTACATATTTTTTGAAAAAGAAGCAATGTTAGACTTCACTGAAAAAATACGGAATTACTGAGCGGACGCGTTCCCTGTAATTTTTTATTTTAATCCACCGAAATCATGAGATATTCTAAAACCATGGCCCAGTAACCCCGACAGAACTTACATCTTCCAGGCGGAAATTCACTCCATTGTATCCAGTTCAACATCGAGAGAAACTATCGTATACAAGATATTATCATTATCTCCGAGAGCCAAGCAGCCATCAATGCGCTGAGCTCTTACGTAATCATCTCAAAAATGGTCTAGAGATGCTTAGAAAAACTTGTGTCCCGGGAGATAACGGGGTAAAGAGTAACGAGATTGCAGCTAGTCTCACAAGGAAAGGGGCTCAAAAACACCCTTTGTGGGCGTATCTATAAATTTATTTATTTAAAACTTTATTGAACAAGGCATTTTTTGTCAAGTAGAATAATAATTAATTGTTTATAATTTTATTAAAACTAAATGCACCCGGGTGGTTTAATAAGAATGTCTTTAGGTCATATCTCAGGAACCGTTTATGATACAACTTCTGGGAAAAAATGACAACGGCTAAAGTGACCACAATCAACTGAAAATTATTTAGAGCATACTTTTTTCTATGAACCAAAAATCTATAACTGGGAGATCGACACTTGTACCCAAAGTTTTTTAATTCATTAATAATGTTTAGCAAGACAATTTTATAAATGAAACAAGATACGTGATAGTATTATATTTAACCGCAAGAAATTAACCAATAAATGATAAAGTGACCTTTATTTTTTTTAAAGCAACTATACCGAGTCATTTTCCAACAAAATTGTAACTGAAATTATTTTGTATAATTTGTAGTCTTTGCGAAAGGTGACGCAACCATAAACGTATAATAAAGGTTCTTCAACGATCGACCTAAAGGCTTCTCGTGATCAACATCGACCGTCTGGGCACCACTAATTTAGAGAACCTTAGGATAATCGCTAGAGGGCGCAACTGTGAATACCGAATAGTAAAAATCCCTATTTTATACAAAATTACCATGCTAAGCTTAGTGACTTTCACAATAATTTCCTTCTATCTTGTGGGGAGAATTGGGAACAGTGATTTGAGTCATTATTAAATACTGTTCTGCTTAACGGAATTTTGCAAACTTGAGTCTTGATGAAAACAGCTCTTCTACACCAATGTAATATTTATATAAAGGGCGCTGTTTAACATTTTTTTTATAAAACTAGTCTTCTCCCGAAAATATTAAATGGAAGTATGCTGTTTTTATCCCGGACTAAATGATCAAAATTCAGCGAAAATCGGGAATAAGCGGGAGATTTACAGCCGTATGCATAGTTAGTCGATCGCCAGCGACTCGCCAGAGATTCATTTCGGCGTATCGCCAGCGATTCGCTGGCGATCCGCCGGCGAAAGCCCAAAAAGCTGGCGACTCGCCGGAGATTGTCACCGGAATGTCATTTCACGCAAGTTTTCATGTTCTTTTATAGGGAAAAATTTGATATTCGTTCATTATTTTTTGAGTTTTAAGAAATGTATCACGAATAAAATGCGAGAGATACCGATGATAATCGCTGGCGATACGCCGAAATGAATCTCTGGCGAGTCGCTGGCGATCGACTATGCATACGGCTGTTAGATTTTTCAAATTCAACAATTAGTATTTATTTTTAGTTATTTTAATGAAATTTTTGTAGGAAGCCAAAAAAGCTATAACCCTAAATCATGGATATTGGAATGGTTTAATCTTTCCAAAATGGAATCATTATAATATATATGCGCGCGTCGGTACTCGTACTCGTTATCCTCAGCTGTAGGAATAAAAAGTACTGAGTATTCTAAAATATAAAGTACTCGAAATTTTTTGAGTATGAGTCCCAACAAGATGAAAGTGCTTACGAGGACCAATTACTGACTACTTTGAGTACAATTTAATCGAGTACTGACTGTGACTCCTGGGGGTATCTATTCTGGAGTAGAAATTTTGAGGGAAGAATGAGACAAATACAACTTTTGTGCGTTGCAGATAAAAAAGAAAAACCGGTTTTTTATCCCCTCAAATTCAAGAATAGCTACCTAGATAGCAGGGTGGAGAAAGTACGAAATGATGGGCGACGACTTTAATATCTAGACCGCCACTGGTTATTTTATTATGCTGTTTGCTTTTTTCTTGTTTTAAGTCACTATTTTCTAGTGTAAACATAAAGTTCCAATAATTTTCTTTTCTAAAATCGCGAAATTTATTTAAATTTCTTTAATGCCCTCTGCCAATAACGGTAACAATAATATAAAAAAAATAAATAATTATGAATAGGCCAAGGAACGTAATTTCTAACGAGTCCTTCAGTGGAACCGGAGTAATCGATATTTAAAGAAACATGCATAACATTTACACGTTTTTTACGATTTCCCTGGAGACAAAGAAGATATCGAGCCCGCTTTCGGCTGATTTGTTGATAATTTTGTCTACGGATAATTCGTGGTGAAAACTGCATGCTTCCATTTAATATTAACAAAAATTAAACGCCCTCTAGCATGCACTTTAATCATTAGATTGGTTCGAATTTATAAATAGTACATTGGAGTAAAAGAGCCGTTTTCAAAAATACCAAGTTTACAAAATTCGGTAAAGCAAAACCGGAGTGTTTGTTCAAATCACGGTTCACACGCCCCCCCCCCCCCCCCCCCACATCTTATATGATAAAATAGAAGAAAATTAATCTAGAAATGTTAACTATCATATTTTTACAAGAACTTAACTTTGATAAATTTTCTATAAAATAATAATTTTACTGTTTTGTGCGCCTACTAGCGATCGCCCTACGATTATCTAAATCAGTGGTTCCCAAACTGGGGGGGCGTAAAGCAACATTAAGCGAGGCAAGCAAGAGCCTTGAATTCAAATTTTATGTTTACCTTTACGATAATATAAAATCGGTAAAGTTTTTTACCTAGAAATTCCCTCGATATAAAAATTGTAAAAATAGGGAACCCTAACCACTTACATTTTAATAATTTAAATTATAACCACCATACCAAAAACCCCTTTTCACCTTTATCTCTCTCCATCGATATTTTTCTTGGTCCCAACCGAATTCTCACGTCGCGTCCGCTCGGTGTTCGTCACATTCACCGTTATTGAACGATAGTGATTGGCTGCTTTTGAAATGGTCTAGTTACACAAATCAGAAGAACGATTTTTATTATTTTCATTCAAGGGGGACCTTCTTTGTTTAAATACGATTCCTTTCAAGGCCATTTTAAATTTTTAAAAAGTGTTTTTGGATCTGTAATCTATGACTTCTACAATACTCAGATGCCAATTTTAGTCGAAATCTGCACTTTTAAAAATAAATGATTTGTTTACCCTGTATATAACAGAGGGAAGTAAAAATCATATTTGACACATTCAAATAAAAATAATAATGCAGTACCACCCTTCGCATTAGATTAGTGATTTCAAATATAATTTTTTTAAATAAATAAGTTTCAATGTAGTAAAAGTAGTTTATGATTATATAATCGGGGGGGAGGTGGGGCATGACCATTTTTATTTCAAAAAGGGGGCGTCATAGAAAAAAGTTTGGGAACCACTGATCTAAATAGTTTCCAGATTTTCTTTTGTCAGCAATTTAGTCATTGAAATTTTCACAAAATTCCAGCCGGAAGTACGATCATACCGCTAGCTCTCAGTATATTAGGTATTATCTAGTCCTAAGGTTTTGTTGAGGTTTTAAATGATTTATTTAGCACTGAATAAATGATATGGGAAGGTGGTCTTTGTGTGGTAGTCTAAGGTGGAATTTGTTGAGAACATGTTGGCAAATGTTTTAGCTTTTTTCCTTATAACTGATGGAATTCAACCTATTAATATATAATTCACTAATTTGAGTATAGTTGGAACATATGGCTGATATTCAGGAGATTGAATATGTCAAGGCATTAATGACAATTCAACATACACGTAAATTGGTCAGACTCTAACAGAGTTTAGGACTCTTGATTGTTTCTTTGCACCTATTTTCTAATTTGGATTTTATATTAACTAAAAGCTTTAGTATCCAATGATTTTAAAAACAGATTTTTCTAAAAACAATATTCTTATATCAAATGAATGGTAAAAGTTTTTATTGACAGTTTTATAGTAAGTCTGGTAAAGTCATTAGCATATTATTCAGTTTTGTTACAATCTCAAAGCACTAATTTAGAAACAGCACTATTAATTAGAATCTAACAATAAATGATTAAGGGGGAATCCTACCCAAGTATTAGAAATATTTTTTAATTAACTATTAAGCTAAATATAAGCTAACCACTAAATATTCAATTTACTTTTTTACTATTTTTTGGTAATATAAAGACGTAACATTGGCAATTTTTCCATTCCTATTGATAAAAAAATCCACTACATCTTTCTTAAATTCGTTTAACTTTTCTTCATTCAAATCTTGTGGGTGTATTCCAATAACTAACATCAATTGATCAGGAGCAGATCTCGCCATTAGCTGTCGAAAGTGACCAGTATGAAATTCTGGATTAAATACTTGCAAATCAGAACTTCTGACAAAATCTTGAAATACCTTCAAAACCAAAATAAAATTATTTAAAGAAGAATCAATTACTAAATAAATTTCTGTTAATTTATAATATATATTTACTTTGGCAGCCAATTTCATGGAATCAGGGATATGAATAAGACTGTCAACGGGCCCCACCCCTATAGTGCCATTGACGTAACTACCTATCCTAAATCCTACTGTAGGAAGATTGGTTTCTTCATCTATGCCTACAGTAAATTCACATTTATTTCGATATCTACAAAAATTATTATGGATGTAAATATTTCAGTTAAAAAACATTTTATTACTTTACCCATTATTATCATCTGCATATCTTATATTACTTAATTCACATGGAAGACCATCATACAAAGATTTTTGTTTTTCTATCCATTTATGTAATTCGGGATTAGTATGTACAAGATCATTTCCAAGTTTTTTTATTAATTTCTTTATTTCATCCTGTTTATGTTTCAACTAAAACAAGTTTAAAATATTGGTAGTATATGTTATTCAAAATGAATCACATGAATAAATATTTTTAAAATACCTGTTCATTATGTTCAAGATTCCAATAAGGAATTGTAGAATTTTTTAATCTTTCTTCTTGAGTTCCTTCAAATTTGCTCTTATTAGACAATTTTTCCTCAGAATCTATTTTTCGCTTTTTTACTAATGGATCTGGCGCAGGCTTAGCTTTCTAATAATGAAATTGTATTGAAAACTTACGATTACTCTTTAAATTACAGGAATAATTGTATCGAAATACAATCACAAAACGGAAGTTTTGCATTTATGCATTAAGAGCAAAAAGTGAAACTTTGACGCTTGAGACGGAAAGTTGCACGCGCGACGTGTAGCGGATCGTGGGCAATCTGTCGATAGCGGCAACGAACTTTTCGCTCAAAATACATACAAGATTTTTTCTACGATCACATTATTTTAAGAAATAGATATACAAACTGAAAATATAAAATAAATGTAATTGCAAATATCCATGTATTACCATAGCGATTTGCGGAAGTAAACACACTTTATCTCATTGTAAAAATCAAATATTTTATCTGCCGCTAATATTTATCAACATAGCCATGACCGTTTGACAGAAATAGTCAATATATTTTATTATTCAATCAGTACATTACCAAATTTAAAAATCTTACACAAATCAAAAGCCAACCCTGGCAGCAGTAAATGCAGCGTAACGGTTTTTGAATATCAATAATATTTACAAACTTATTTATTAGTATTTTTCGCGAAAACAATATAGCTTTCTCACTCATGAAAAATTTCAGTAATTTAAATATAAGTGCCAACTCTCTCACACTCGCAAACCTATCATAGTCGTGCTAACAGGGGCATAGTTAAAATAAATCGTTAAAAGCAAGCATATATATGCATTTAAAGCTACCATTTCGCAAGCCGAGGCAGAGACCGACTTCAAAACGCGCCGCGACAGCAAGGGAGACACTACGCTTCGCACATTTGGGAAGCAAGGAGACAGGTAACACGACACCCGAAGACCACAATTCGAGGGAACGATCCATGTTGCCAGACCTACTGTTTTTAAGTAGATCCACTGTTTTTGTCTCTGTTCTCGTTTTAGGCATGAAATTTACCGTTTTCGCCAACTTAACAAATGTTGTTTTTCATTTATTAAGTTTGCCTCATTCTTCAGCAAATGGTCAAAGAATATTTTCTCTAGTAAATTTGCTGAAGTAGAAGCAGCGTAATAAGCATCCACTACTGTAGGTTTGCTGCATAAAAAAACCTCAGGATAATCATTATGTTTTTACTTTAAATGCAACAAAGAATTAAAAAGGCATCATAAAAAGAACATGCATGCCAAACACAACATATTTGAATTATCTGATTCAGACTTATCTAAAAAAAGTAGGTACCTATTATTTTTCATTGGTTTCTTTTTTGTTTCAGTACGTTAAGTATATATTAAAAATGTTATTTGTTTTTATTCTTTGTTTACTTTCTAATTTGGGTAGCAAAATGTTTATTTTTCTTTTCATATACACTTGTTTTTTTTTTTTTTAATTACTACACTGCAAATTATAATTATTTTCCCCTGTATTAAAATCTACTGTTCAGATCTACGGTTTTTTTTTTTCACCCATACTGTTCCAACAAATGTTCATCTGGCAACACTGCCTAGATCGAAAAAACTTTCCAACGACCAATTCTATTAAATATCGATTAATCACCTCGAAATACAAGCGATCTCTGAGGACAGTGAGGACTGAGTGCATCAGGCAGCAAACGATCTGCCCCGAGACCGATCTAAGGTGTCGTCGACATCTGTCTCTTGGATGTGTCGCGCTTTGCGAAATGTGTTTCATATAATTGCATGCGTTCAGACATGAAGAGACCGTTCTCAGTCGCCTCTGTTGTCGTCTGTCGCGCCTACCGAAATGGTACCTTAAGGTACCATTTCGGTAGGCGCGACAGGAGACAACAGAGGCGACGGCAAGGAGGACAGATGCATTAATGTTACGTTCCGCACATTTGGGAAGCAAAGAGACAGGTGACACGACACCCGCAGACGACCATTCGAGAAAACGATCAGCGTTGCCAGACTAAGTAGATCCACTGTTTTTGTCTCTGTTCTCCTGTTTTAGGCATGAAATCTACTGTTTTCTCCAACAAATTTTATTCTTAATTTATTAAGTTTGCCCCATTCTTCAGCAAATGGTCAAAGAATATGTTCTCTAGTAAATTTTCTAAAGTAAAATCAGCGTAATAAGCATCCACTACTGTAGGTTGGCTCCATAAAAAAAAACCTCAAGATAATCATTGTTTTTATTTAAAATGCAACAAAGAATTAATAGGGCATCATAAAAAGAACATGCATGCCAAACACAACGTATTTTAATTATCTGATTCAGACTGATCTAAAAAAAATACCTATTATTTTTCATTGGTTTCTTTTTTGTTTCCGTACGTTATATTAAAAATGTTATTATTTGTTTTTATTCTTTGTTTGCTTTCTAATTTGGTTAGAAAAATGTTTATTTTTCGTTTCTTATATACTTGTTTTTTTTTTTAATAATTATACAGTTACGCCTCTGATAAATTATTTTATTAAGTTAATATCTACCCGTTCACAATTTTGAGGTTAAAAGAATTCGTTATGTGTACTTTTTATACAGGGTGAGCCATGCAGCCATCCACTGAAAATAAATATATTTTGAAATTATTAAAACGAGACTTTGCATTTCTTTAGTGACTTTTGAGTAAATTAATAACAATACATTAGATATGTAACCATAAAATAACCTGTAACAGTATATTGACATGGTTTTAAAATTTACTTTTGGTTATATCATTTCAATATATTTAAAACTGTCCCTTTTTATGGACTGTTAAGAATACCCTTAACAAAAATATCAGAATCGCTACTTCTATACCGCCCCTGTAACAGTTACTTAAATATCTATTCAGCAAGGTTGGCAAAGTCAATAAAGTGAAAACAACGCGCGGTTGTTATCCAATACAGATGCACGAATTTGAAATCGATAATAATGATTGGACAAAGAAAATATGTTGGTAATATGATTGCGCGAGCCGTAACGGTTTTGGAACCACGCCAAGCGCGGCAAGGTGTCTTTTCACTCCTTTCAGACTCGTCTCAACTATGATAACAGACACATCGACAATTGGGTAAAAACCCACGCTCTACATAATGACGACCAATATATAAATGTTCTGAGTACAGTATGTGTACATAGTGTAAATAATTAATAAATGTAGTGTAGTGTTCTTCATGTAAAATAAAGTGTTAAATGCAGGTGTGCTTGTTTCTTTCTATCGTCAATCGTTAACCCAAAGCCGGCAGCTGGTAAAAACATGGAATACAGTCCGCTTCAGAATCATAGCATAATGGAGCCTGTAAAGGGTAAGATTCTTACAGGCCTCACAATACATAAAAAAAAATATTCCGACGAATTGAGAACCTCCTCCTTTTTTGAAGTTGGTTAAGAAACTGAAATGCAATTTTGGAAATATGAAAATATATAATCCCCAATTTCCCCAACGAAATTATGAAAAAGTCAAAACAAACCAGAAAAATTGCAAAAGCTGTTGAGAATCGGAATCCGATTGAATTCAAACCTAGGAGTTCGACTGTCGCAGCCATGCGTTTGTTAGCCCTTTGGAAACAGGGAGGGTAAATAGTGCAGGTTCTTTAATTTTACATAAATTAACCGACTATTTAAGTATACTTTTTTTTTAATATGTCCGAATGCACCTAATAATACTAGTTATTAACATATTCTGCACACTTCAATATTGTGGCTCATAGCTTTATCTCTGCTTTATCAGGATCACTTCACTTACACAAGCTCAAAAGGTTCGACTCTTTTAAGTCTTCTCACTAGGTTTTGATTGTTTAAAAGTTGGAGAACTTCAATGTTAATGTGTTTTTGAGGCCTCTCCTCATGTCTCTTGGCAATGTTTTTAATTTCTTCTGGAATTGATTCAACTTCGAGTTTTCGGTGCAGGTCTTTATTCCAAACATACCAAGGCGCATTAACTGTGTTCCTGAGAATTCGGTTTTGGAATATTTTTAGGCAATTGTAATTACTTTTACTAGTACACCCCATAATTGTAGGCCCATATGTCCATACTGGTTTTAGAACTTGTTTGTAAATCAGGACTTCATTTTGAGTGGAAAGTGAAGAGTGCTTTCCTATCAACCAATACATATTTATATATTTAATCTTTAGCTGTTTTCATTCACAATTAAAGAATTTCTTTTACACCAGTTTCTGAATTCATTGGCAATGGTGTTGAGACAGTAGTTACCGTAATAGGTCTATAATTTTCTAAAATAGTATGATCACCTTTTGCTTGAGGACCTTTGTCTTTTTTAAGCAATATAAAAAATATATTTTTATTATTTTAGGGTTCGGTCAAATATTACGCTTTTCAAAAGTGTTCCATCGCCAAAAAAGTTTAAGAAACGCTGTTCTAGATCATCTAAGTCATTCTTCAATTTCATTCGCGTAGAGTTTTTTCCTCAGTATCACTTAATATTTCTAAGCTTTTAATAGTTAGCGTTAAATTCTTTGTCTCTGCAGCACTTAAATTTGGATTCCATATTAACGAAATGCCACTGTTATTTCCAATTTACTTAAACGCAAAACCTTCTAGTTCATTATCAGTAATTACTAGTTTTTCTTTGTCAATGTATATAAAAGCAGATAAGAATCTTTTATCACTTAGTTTCTTTGCCGATTTGCTGGACAACAAAGAAATAAATGACAAGAATGCACTTAAATGGTTTGAAATAACTGTTAAAATGTTGTTTTATTATGATCTAATTGTTTACTTTGAGCTATATTTCAATACCAAAAAGAATAGACTTTGCACTATTTGGCACTATAAATCAAAGCAATTTTAAACACGTCTATCTTACTCGACCTTACTCAACTTTCCATTCCATGCTCCTTCCATTTTAATTTAGCATCCAGATTTGGACCCAGATATTTTGCTGTTTTCTTATTTGGAACAATATATTGTTATTTAGGTTTATTGGTACATATTCTATTCTTCTATTTGTAAAGTTAATGTGAGCGGATTTTTACTAGTTAATTTTTGTGCGCCACTGTTTAGACCAGATTTGTATGCTATTGATTCCGTTTTGAAGATTAGCTGTTGTTTCTTCTATAGTTGATCCTATGGTTAAAACAGCTGACTAATTTTATATTTTCTATCTCTGGAATGTCATAGGTGTATAATATAATGCTGGCCCAAGAACACTTCTCGGTCTGTGGGACGCCAGCATTTATTGACTTGAGTTCAGAGTATTCGTTTTCCATTTTAACTTTAAATGTTCGCTGCGATAGATATGATTCTAGTAGTTTTTTTTTTTATTTTAAATAGTAGGCCTTGATGCCACACTTTATCGAAGACTTTTGAGATATCAAGAAATAGGTACTGTGGAACAATTTTTTTCTTCTTCTAGAGAATTCTCAATTTTATGTATTATGTGGTGAATCTGATCAATGGTAGAATGGTTTACCCCAAAAGCTGAATTGATGGGACGGGATAAGTTTCGTGTTACTTTCTTTAGTATCTTTCCTGTGATCAGATCGAACCCGGGAGCTTTTTTGGCATTAATACTATTTTTTATTTCCGTTTGTACTTCTTTAGGACTAGTTAATAATAATTTGTCTATATCACTAACTTCCTCTTGGTTGTACATTTCAATTTCTTCACCTTTTCCTGGGTTCGGGTAAGAGATGCATTCTAAATAGTTGGTAGAAGCATCAACTTTTCATAATGAGTAATCAGTGATTGGGTCATCTGTGAGCTATCTCAGATATTTGTTGATTGACTAATTTTTAATTTTTTTCTCTCTCTTCGTACCTGTTGTGTAAGTCTATTTAATTTGTTTTTGTTCTCTTCGGTTCTCATTTTTTGCTACTCCTTTCGAGCCTTTCTTACTTCCCTCTATAAAAGGGAAGTATTGTAATCGTGAAAAAGTCACCTTCCGAGATTATTTCAGATTTTCACGTTTCAGGGTCCTTAGATTACGAAAAACATGTTTCCCCATTTCGTCGTTCTGTCTGTCTGTTGACGCGATAGCTCAAAAACGGCTTTATAGAAAAAAATAAAATTTTGTATGGAGATAAAGTTTATTTCTAGCTCGAAACCAGTTATACTTCCGATCAGTTACATACAGGGTGAGCAGTTTTTAAAATAAAAATTATTTTTAAAAATCCGGCAGATTTTGACTAAAATTGGTATCTGAGAATTTTAGAAGCCAAAGATTTTCCATAATTTCGTAGGAGGAATTAGGTATATCGTCGCCTTAATGAAGAACTATTGTATGTCCTAAAAATGTTAATATTCGTTTTTAATACCAAATGAAGCTACATAGTGCCCCTCTCTATTTTACGATACATATAGAACTATTGTAACTCCATCCACAGTGGTTTTTCTCTTATCGCTTAGTAAAAATATTGTAAAACATAAACCTTTTATTTATTTCTGAATTCAAAAAATTGTTCCCATGAAAAATTCACATTTTGTGACATGTGCATTAAGGCGACGATATATACAGGGTGTTTTCTAACCTCTCTGACAAAAGGAAGTAGAAGGATTCTCACTTAATTTTAAGACAGAAATGTGGTATACAATTTTTTAGAATGTCGCTTTGTTTTCGAAATACAGGGAGTTGAAAAAATTTAATTTTATGCATTTTATTTTTATTGTTAATTAGTGGCAAAAGATATTCCAGTGATATTTGGAACACATAATTTATTTATTTATTTATTTACGGGTCAGAGCCCATTAAAACAATACAATTACAGATAATACATATTACATACATTAAATAGTAATAAAATCCTAAATAATAATAAATTAATTTAAATACAAAAATATTAAAAACAATTAAAAATTACTCCTCACATATACATAAATGGATAGAAAAATCTGATGGAGAAGTAATCCATTCTACATTTAGTCTGTTAGCAGATCTTGTTGCTCTAGGAACAAAAGAGTGAGAACCATAATTTGTTCTATGAAAAGGTTGAGAGAATGTATTAATATTCCTAGTTACTCTAGATGGCACAGAAAATCCAATTTGGGATAACAAGTATGGACAATCGGCAGATGAGTTAATAATGGTAAACAATATTTTAAGATCCCTTTGGTTTCTTCTGCTCAGAAGGGTCTCAAGATGACAAAGTGTGTGTAATTCGTCATAATTGTATCTGAAGTTGACCGGGACAATACCCGATTTAAATGCAACAATGCGTAAAAATTTTCTTTGAACCTGTTCTATATTATGGATTAGATATACATAAAAAGGATTCCATACGGAAGAGGGGGAATAAGGGGTTTTAAACTTTTCAATTAGTTCACTGGCAAAGATCAGGGTAATGAGAACCATAATTTTGCAAAAATTAATTTTAAGTAAAGTACTAAAGCCCCTTATTATGTGTACCAAATAGCACTGATTAATAACAAAAAGAAAAAGCATTATATTTTATTTTTTCAACATTCAGTATTTCAAAAATGAAGCGACATACTAAAAATTTTTATACATTTTCTTCTTAAAATTTGGTGAAAATTCTCCTCCTTTCTTTTGTCGGAGAGGTTAAGAAACACCCTGTATATAAATATTCCAAATGTAAAGAAAATAATTTAAAATAACTTAAATGAATAGCTTTGTGCTTCGCATATAGACCCTATAAAATCTAACAAAAGAATGAAAATATACCTATTTATTGACATTAACTAAGTACTCATTAAATCTAAGACTTATGGTAATGCACCAATGCATAAATGAACAAGATAGAGATGAGCTTAAAATCGCGAACTGCGATTTTACAATCGCAACCTGTGATTGCAGTGTAAAAGAAAATGTGACTGCGTTTTTCATAGATGGTTACTCGTTTGTCGTCTGAATCGAAACCAACGATTGCCAACGCTGAGGCTGAGCATTGTGCGATGAGCTGCGCTTTCTACGCTATGCCGGCAGCGACAACTGACCATTTTCAATTTCTTCGATCCTGCCGAGAAACCTGTGACTGCCTGCAATCGAACATTCATGCGATATGAGATTGCCCCTCCTTGCATTCATTCTTTATTTTATTTAAAACATTTAAAAAGGCGAGCAAATTTTGATACAGAATGCTAAAAAAAGAAAAAATTAGTTATTTGCAGAATTTTTATTCTGAATTAGATTTTTTTTAAGGTTGGGTAGATATGTCAATTTTAATAATTTATTGTGCTTACCTAAAAATTATTAATGATTGAATGATACCTATAAAAGTTTTATAGCATAGACAGTCATAGACCAACAACATTGAGTAATTTGACCTGTGAAAAAACGTTATCAAGAAAATGCAGGTATCAAGTTTTATTTTTTAAATTTTCTTTCTGTACCTGTACACATAAGGAATTATTATAGTACAATAACTAATGATTGTAACCCAAATCCAATAATTCATTACTGATTATGCTGTATATGTTCTATGTAAATATAATTATAACATGTTTGGTAGTTTACGAATTTCGAAATGTAGAATCGCAATCGCAGTGATTGAAAAATCGCAATCACAGTTTTGACTGCGATTGTAAAATCGCGGTTTAGCTCACCTCTAGAACAAGACAGGTTAGCACTGGTGCCAGATGTATGTTTTACATATATCTCGAGTTTGATTTGATTAAAAAAGTTTAAATAATGGTAGTTATACTTTAAAATTTTCAAATTTAAATATTAAAATTTACCTCTGAGACAAATGATAACGGTAGTCAAAGCATTTTTAAATTTTTCAAATTTACCTTTGAGACAAATGAACTTATGTATGATATATACCTAAATATAGTGTAAAGCAACAATTATGTATTTTAAACAAATTATTGTATAATTTTTATGATGAAAGAAATTCTCTTGATATGACAACTCTGGTATGTTACACGTTCCTGAAATTATTTTAACTGTCTACAATAAAATTATTGTCGGTATGTATAAGAACACTTATTGCAAACAACCATAAAATCAAATTTTTTGAAAAAAAAAAAAAACATTACCAATACTTGTAACTCTTTTCCTTTCCATTTATACTTAGAGAGAATCTGTAAGGCATTATCTCTATCCTCATTATTTCTAAAACAAACAAAAGCAAATGGACTGTTTCTTCTTGTGGTTTTTATTTTATTAGAATTTAATTTCAATTTTTCGTTTAATAACTTACGGAATTCCTAGAATTTAAATAATCAAGTTTGATAGAAAAAATATATTTTTGTTAACATACGTTCATTCCATAAAATTTAGGCAAATTTTTTACTTCAATTTTAAAATTTTCTGATGAAAAGTCTCGTTCCAAGTAGGCATATGGGTCTTGTTTTTCAGAATTAGTCTCATTTTTTGTGTTTTCTTCCATTATATGTATAAAATTTACGAAGTAAGTTTAATTTAAAATTTATTCCCTATTCCACACTTTTAACCGTACGTTTTTACTATTTTTCTTAGGTTAGAACACGGGGGTCAGATCAATGAACTGGAGTAGGCGAGTTCGGTCAGTCAGGGGCTGGAGCGGGACAAATTTTAGGACTGTCACTAATTGGACTAAACTAACGGTAAAAGGGTCGTTTGGAGTTAAAAGTGTTAAAGGAGTTAAAGGAACTTGGCGGACCGAACGCAATGAGTGGGGTAGAAACATAGACATAGGAAAATGGCTGCCCGGGTGGCAAGCAAAAACGTTTACGATAGCGTAAATGCGGGGGAGGATTTGAGTCTGCGCATTAGTTAGAATATTGTGACATTTGACATTTAGTTGTCTTGTGATTGTTGTAATTTTTAGCAATTTTTGTACGATTTTTAAAGTTTTTGTGAGTTTTGGAAAGTTATTTTGATCCCTAAAGACGTCCTAAAGACTTCTATAAACAATGGTTAAAACATGTTTAGTTTTATTCTGTCCAAACCGATGAAATAATTCCGAAGAACTTGTCATAAGTAAGTTTTTAACACCAATACAGACCCGTATTTAACAATTATTTTTGGATGAATCAATTAGGTATTTAATTATTGTTCTAGCCCAGTATCCATACTGGGGTTCTAATAAAAACCTTGTCTAGTTATATATAATTATTCGTTTCTATTTGTCTTTTAGGTTAGAAAAAAAAGGCTTAATGTAATGGAAGCTCCTATAAAGAAAATGTATGCCAAGGAAATATTTCAAAATCGTTCAAGCATTTCTTATTTTGAATTTTAGTCAGTGATAAAACTGTGATTAAAAAGAATGCCACTCCTACTTTATTTTGGCCAAGTAATAAAAAAAAGAACATGTTCCAGAAGCTCATGAACAGAAAATGTCACCAAAGGATGCTAGGTAAGTTTTATTTCTATTTCATTTAAATATAGGTAATACCCTATATGCGTGCTAACACTATTTATAATGAAGCCTTCTTTTTTTTAGTAAACTTTTCAAACCATTTTTTAATAGAATTTTAAGCAGTTCTAATAGTGCTGGCTTTAGAAGATCTACCAAAAGAAATTATTGAAAACTAACCAAAATCATTCATTAATGTGTAAGTTACCAGATTAAATGTGTTTCATAACCAGCATGTAGTTATAAATTATATTTATTAATTTTTATCTGTTTTAGGTTAGATAAAAAGTATTGGAAGATCACACAAAGAAAATTTTAAAATATGTTCGAAGCATTTTGAATTTTAGTCAGTGATAAAACTGTGATTAGAAGGAATGCTACTGCTACTTAATTTTTGCCAAGTAATCAAAAAGAGAACATGCTACAGAAGTTCATGCAAAGGAGGCTAGGTAGGTTTATTTATACTTCATTTAAACATAATGCCTATGCAGTCTATATTATACCACTGTTTTACAGAATTTTAAGCAATTTAGATAGTGGAGATGATCTCCCAATAGAAATTATTGAAAACGAAACAAAAGAATTCATTCTTATGTTTAAGTGACTTGATTGAATGTCATGTACTATTCGTTTCATATGCTTGCATTTGAATATGCACATTTTTTACCTCTGGAGCATTATTATTTGTTTGTTCACATCTACTACATCTGCGTTTGTTTATATTTTCTTTATTTAAAATGATATTTTGAGGATTGTCAAACCTGACATTTTTTGTTGTTGGATTCGTTCCATGCCAGGTTCAGTTACAGGTTTATCGATTTATCCTTTGTTTATGCTAGCCATATATGCTCATGAATATAAAAGTGATCATTTGTTTGATTTTTGTTAAGTTTTCAAATTTAGATTTTTTCTATAATATAGGTATCGCTAACCATCAGTAACTAGAGAGTAGGTATTTTAATTCAAAAAATAGTTTTAAAGTAAATAATCATAAGAAAAATTACAACGACAACTACTTTTGTATTCATATTATAATGACTCAAAGGTCAAACACAAAAAGTATAAAACTTGTCATTGTCATTTTTACCACATGGCTAGTAGGTCTAGAGTGTTTCTTTATTACATCTACATTTAACCCTAATCTTCTGTTACGTGATAAAAATTCACATTTCATCAGATGCATCCTATATGATGATAAACAAGCACAGCTATAAGCATGCAAATTTAATAATCTTAAATCTTTCCATGTAAATATCTGTTAAATAGTGATTTTTTTTAATTGCAGAAATACAGTAAAGAAGACAGAAATGCAGATATCTAAACAAACTAAATGTGGTACAGATATCAAAAAAGACAGCAGACGTATAAATGATGCAATGTTACACTCGTTCCCTTAGCAAGTTCTACCTGTGTTAAAGAAGAGAAATATGATAAGTATCAATGCTGGAACATTTTTACTGTGTCGTTAATGTTTTCAAATAGGTAGTTTTATTAGAATTAAATGTCAATAAATGGCATGTAGTTGTTATAATTTGTACACCTGATACTCTTATCAAAATATCTACTTGTAATATGTTGTGTATGTTTTGTATTTCATATACTGCTATAGAATTTTTAAAAGGGAAAGTATACCTTATAATAAGTAGACCAATGTATATTCTAGCTCAATAAAAAAATTTATAAAGCATAATAGTTAAAAAAATGTAATACTTTTCTAATACAAGACGTATTTCTAATCAGGCAATGATCGAGAGTTCTTTCAAAAATAATATAATTAAGTTGTATGTAATTTGCTTATTTATACCTTAATATTTTTATATATTTTACAATTACTTTTGACGACTGTAAACAACATATCGAAGGCAACAAGGCTAGACCTCGTAAGTCGCAAAATCAAAATTTTTCAAGAGATCAAAAAAAAAAAGATTCACAAGTGCATAGAACAATCCATTTTACTCTATAATGGGACTAAAATTTAACCATATTTTGTTCAAAAATTTTAATACATACTTCATTTATACAGTAGATGGAGTGGAATCTTTTAAACGAGATTATCATAAAATATAATTTTCAGTGGCAATGTTAGTTACGAGGTCCTGCATTGTGGCTCTCGATATGTCCAAAATAAAGAAAAAAAGCCCAATTTAGATAATACAATAAATATTGTACAATTTTAAATAAAAAATCTAACCTTCTATTTTACAGTATCTATAAATTATAATAAAAAATATATATAGATCCTTAGCCAATCAGCCAGTTTTAAATTTAATACAATTCATACAAATAATTATATTTTTATATATTTTGTAATTCTATATTGTAATTGACACCCAGTTGGAAGAACACTTATATATATCTTTCAATATCTAATGATCGTATAATTTTATTAGACTGAACGTAATTTGATGTTCATATCATTAAGACAAATCACATTCTCAAACTCTGTCAAAGTTTGTCGTACCTATAAATTTTAATGAATATTGTTGCAATCAGTTGTTTGTATCTGGGTACAATATACATTTATATTAGTATGTACACATTTTTTTAAATATGTATATATTTGTTTTCTGTCTTTGTCAATACGATGTATTTTTCAACAATAAAACAATTTGAATTAGGAACCTGCGAATATCAGGCAGAGACTCCTGTCACTCGTAGCATCTAAATTTGTGTCGATGTATGTAGTGAAAAGAACAAGTTGGACCCATATCGATGCTTTCTGACAGTGGTCTCCCTTTGTTACCTGCATGTTCCTATTAAACTTTGTTAAACTCATTGTAAAGAATACCTTCTGTGTTAAAAAGTCCGTACCTGTCTAGTATCCTAAAGATATTTTAATAATAAGTAGTTTTCTTTGAATTAAATGTTATATATTCTTTGTATTTGTTAATGTCCTGAAGATTGTATTTGAACAAAATGTTATTCAATTCTTATAATTTGTACCCCTAATACTATTATTAAAATAACTGCTTGCAATATATGTTTTTTTTCAAGGATTTTCAAATGTTAGGTAATTTTCTTTGAATTAAGTGTCTCATTTATTTTTTAATAACTTTTACACCTGATACTAAACTATTATTGAAATACTTGCAATGTTTGTTAAATATTTTTGTATTCTGTAGCATCTTGCAAGATTTTCAAATAAAAGAAATAGTTCAAATAAGTACCTAGTTTTGTTTTCTTCATTGGTCCCCAGCCTAAACTTAAATTTGCCTTTATTTCCAAGATTAAGTTTTGATAGGTATAATTTAATAAATATTTCACTCGTTGTCTACAATATTCGACTCGATAGTGGAAACGGTAAGCATCTGGTATTCATTTGTGATCAGGAGATAACAATGGTTGTAATTCTATAGCAAAAATGGTTTACTCTCTACAGGAAAGAATCGAAATAATTATCCTTTATGAAGAGGTTGGAAAATGCGCACGAAGGGCAGCATTTAAATGAAAGGCATCCTAATTGTAATGTAAGTCATATTTATACTCTCGATTTGGTAGCAAAATTTTTGGAAACTGGTTCGGTGAAAAATAGGAAAAGAACCGACGAGTACTAAATGAAGAAGCTCTAATTGAGGTTTTGGGAACATTTGTTACCGTGTCAACTAGCTCCATACGAATAGTAGCAGAACAGATGGGAATATCACGCGAGACTGTAAGAAGAGCACTGAAAATGCATAAATTTCATTCCTGTAAAATGCAGTTACTTCAAGAGCTCTACGAAGATGATTTTGATAAAAGAATAGAGTTTTGTAAAACCATGTCTGATCAAGTTAACGCCAACCCCAATCTTCTGCTGAATATCTGTTTCAGTGATGACATTTTATTTTATATTTTTTTCTAAATGACAATGTAATAAACACAAATGTTGGTACTGGAGCAATGAACACCAGGTATATTATTCAAGAAGGGCATACGCAATTATTGGTTCTTTATTTAATGAAGGAAACTTGCCAGGCGATCTGTCCCTTAATATGCTTGCAGAGATTATTGATCCTCTTATAAACTCAGGAGCTAGAAACAAACTGATGCAGAAGGTAATTTAGTTTTACAGGAGATGTGTTACATTTCCAGCAGGACGCTGCTACACCTCATTTTTTCTTCTCGTCTGACAGAGATTTCCAGGTCCTTTGATTAACAGAAGGGGAGCAATTGAATGGCCCCCAAGATCACCTGATTTAACTCCTTTAGAATTTTTTCTTTGGTGACACCTTAAATTCGTTGTTTATGAAACACAACCTGCTGATATTGATGATCTTAAAAGGAGAATTACACAAGCATGCCGGTCAATTTCCGGTAAAAGTTTTCCGAAATGTTAGAGAGGAGTTGGGAAACAGACTTT